ACTATTGAAGTTACAAAAATAATTTTTACATATTTATATATCATTTAATAAGCTAATTTTATTTTGTTAATTTCACCAAATTATATTGACAATTTGTAATCCCTTGACATGGTGTTTAATGAATTTATTGTGCAATAACTGGTTGATAGCACACGACTTATCTACTGAATGCCTCGATCTCCAGTTCCCCCATAGGATTACATGTGAACTAACTGTTAGGACAACAAGGGATCCCAGAATTTCAAGGCCACCGGCTCTCCAACCATCAGCACCTGTATTACAGCATAGATTCTGTAGTTTATATAAATTACAGACATGTACTGTATATCGGCTGTCATCGCAATGAACTTGAAATTAAGGGATCAGTGAAGGGAACAGAAGATTATTATCACATTTGTGTCAATAATATATAGATGTGAAAGAATATACATAAAACAGTTCTTCGATTTTGTTAACAGAAACTGTAAACTATAGTTAGGACTAGAGTACAGCCTAATACCGGCACTAAAATCCATAAAATTTTATTTAATAATTATATCAAACAATAGACACGTATTGTATGTACAGTATATAGATTGTCAATATTATTAATATAAGACACTACGCTATTGTACAGAATACTTAATAATCTCAACAACCTGGCTAATTACTTGCTTAGCAATAATCATGTTATCGATATTTGTTTTTCATAATAAAGTTATGATACGTATTATTATAGTTTTATACACTATTGTGGAGTAAATTTAATGAAAATTAATAACTATTGTCACCATTTTGTATAATTATTATACAAATAAATGTTTATTGATTACTGAATTAATATAATTAATATTCATGATTATTATTATTTGTAAAAAATATTTTATTTAATAAAATGTCAACTGTAATCAATAATTATACAATTTGTGATCAAATACCACAACATTTAAAACAAGAAATTAAATATTTTTATGTTTTCAATGACTTGAGGGGAAATAACATACTGTTTATAACATTTGATGATATGGTGTATGGATTGGGATCTAATAGTGAGGGTCAGCTCGGGTTAGGACACAACACACCCATTCATACACCAAAGCGAGTGCCAGAATTATGCCATAAAAATATTCATCAGTTTTTCAATGGATATAACTTTGTATTGGCTGTCAATACGGATAATAATGTGATATTCAGTTTCGGTCTCAATGATGAGGGACAATTGGGACGGGATCTGGATATGGATGTGAATGTATACCATAAACCGGAAACTAATGTGATATTCAGTTTCGGTCACAATTATTGGGGACAATTGGGACGGCATGTGAAAGAAAATGGATACCATACACCGGATACTATATTACATTTCCAATCAAACAATTTAATTATTTCACAAATAAGTTGTGGTCGTAATCACACAATTGTGTTGACATCAAATGGACAGGTATTCGGGTGGGGATATAATGAAGAGGGACAGGTTGGTTGTGGCGATATAAGGATTCAATTAGATCCAACTCCTGTTGAATTTACCCCTGAATATCAAATTAGTAAAATAGAGTGCAATTGGTATACATCACTTGCTCTTACTTGTGAGGGTCAGATGTTTATATGGGGAAAGGTATATGATAATAATATAATAAAAAAAACACATCTATTAGAAATTGAAATTAATATAACCAATGCACTTCTACACTCTTCTTTTGTTGTTTTTGCATATTTGTTATCTAGCCATGGTCAATTATATCGATATGACTTTCGTTATAATTGTTTAGAAATATTACCACATTTTGTGTTCAATGAAATCAAACAAAAATATTTTTATCAAAGTTATACCCCAAAAATTGTGGGCAAATCTGGTGATAAAATATATGAAATTTTTTCCCAAGATCTGTTTGAAACCAATTACAGATCATTTGATGATTATTTTTCAAATGAATTGCAAATCACTTTAAATACTATTTCAACACATATTCAACAAAATACACAATTTTGTGGTAAATATTACAATAATTCCTTAATTGTGACCTTAATATGGATAGACTTATAACAAAATCAGAAAAACAGCATTAATTGAATATAATTATTATTTCTCATTTTGAGTGCTTATTCATTATAAAAGTTTAATAAAAGTACAGAAAATGTTATTTTTCAGTCTTATTTTGTTACTTGTCTATCCATATGTATTACATTGAATTGATTATTATTATTATGTTTTAACATAGAAACTCACGATAAGTTGAATAATTCAATATCATTTGAAAAGTCATTTGATGTAATAACTAAGCTTGGTGAGGGTGGTTACGGACAGGTATATAAAGTTCAAAATAAATGCGATAATAAATTCTATGCAATAAAGATATGCCAATTAAATGGTAAATATATTTTATTTTATTTGCATTATTATAATCATTTCTATTATATTTTGGATTTTTCTAAGGATTGACAGAAAAACAAAAACAAAATGTTTTGAATGAAACGCAAAGTCTTGTGAAACTTCGGTCAGAGTTTGTGATTAAATACTACTATTCATGGATTGAATGCAATTGTCTTTACTTTCAATGATTATTTGTCATTAAAAACTTCATATATTTTTATGGTATTACTAAGAATTCTAAATTAAGTCATAAGTTTTCGAGTTTGACATCGTGTTTACAGTAACCCTGTCCAGGGTATTACTAATCGATAATCTCAACAATGTTTTGGAAACTAAGGAATCATTGTTTAATGAATTGATGACTATTTATGAGTTTTATATATCGTATCAAATATTTAGAGAACTCACAGAATGTGTTCAATATTTGCATCAAAAGCATATCATTCATAGAGACCTCAAACCGGATAATGTGTTGATTTCAATGGAAGAGGAGATAAAGTTATGTGACTTTGGTTTGGCTAAAGAGGTCCAAAATTGTGATCCATTTCTTATGTCTAAAGCCAAACATACTGCAGATGTGGGAACTGATGCCTATATGGCACCAGAAGCCATGACTAATGAATACAACCATTTGATAGATATCTACAGTCTATCCCTAATTGGGGCTCAAATTTTTGGTTTCGATACAAACGATATAATTAACGGAAAGTATGAATTCATTTTAATATATTTTTTTATATACAAATATTGTAAGCATTCGTATTATTATTTATAATTTAACTCATAATAATATTTCAATTTTAGGATCAAAACAAACACAAAATATGACAAAGATATTAATGAATGGATGTATAAAATGAATGCATTATTGGTGTCAATGAGTGTTAATAAGTATCGCAAAAACGGTTCAACAGATTGAAGGCAAAGACCCGAATGTTCGAACATTTTATCACAATTGTGGACATTTATGACAATTGAACTCATTATTGGAGACAAAGAATTCAATTCTGTATTGAATACTATTATAGACAGAAAATGTGATATATTTTACAGACTAGTTTTGCAAAGCAGACCGTTTTGTATAATCCATATGACTGAAGGAAATATAACTAATGGTTAGATATTTATAGTTTAATATTATTTCAAAGGTCAAATTTGACATTGACAATATATATGTTTGTAGATACAGCCGACATTAACGCAATTAACAAATCAATGTTTGAAACAATTAGGAAACAAATTCGTGTGAAAATATGGACAATATATGAAGTTAAACATAAAATATCTCAACAAATATATTCTTTATACGAAAACTATTCCGACGTAGACAGTAAGACTTATTGTATTATACTTTGTGTGTGTGGTAGATATAAATGGATTGTACTTTTCAACTCTGCTTTAATACAATTTAGCATAATATCAAAGTATAAATATATTATTTTATAGAATTCATGTTTAGTCCACAAATGAGTAGAACCGCACTCACTGTACTTCAATAGTGTGTGTCAAGTACTGAACCTGTACAGTATGTGTACTTTATTTACTTTATTAAATTTGTAGATGTTCCCTGTTAAGTAATGGGTTAAGTATACTGGCTCCAAAATCAAAATATTACTGTCACTGGCGAGAAATTATCATTATTAGTAAAATGTGGACACATTTAGAATAATTTTTTTGATAATTGTTATAAAGTATTATCCAATTTCTTATAACAATATTTAAAACTGGTTTAATATCGTATACACCCAAAATCTCGAAACACAGAATCTCGAAAAACATTATCTCGAAAAACAGAATCTCGAAATATAAAATCTCGAAAACAAAATCTCGAAAACATAATCTCGAAATTTTAAAAATCGTATTAATAACACTAATAACTAGCACATACACATATATCTGATATAGCTAGCATGATTATTACCTTATTGAACCATTAGGTTGGGTTAGGTAACGCGCGGAGTACTGGCCCGGCCCGATACAGTTTTATCGGTTTCAGCTCTTCGCATATAGCAGATTTAGCTTACCATACCGGATGCTAACTACATCAGACGTCTTATCTGGACGTGCTAGTTACTCCGGTATAGTGTTATTAATATGATTTTTAAAATTTCGAGATTATGTTTTTCGGGATTCTGTGTTTCGAGATTCTGTTTTTCGAGATTTTAGTTTTCGAGATTTTATATTTCGAGATTATGTTTTTCGAGATTTTAGTTTTCGAGATTTTGATATACTCCCGTTTAATATATGGAAACTAATTTTATATGTAAATTCTATCTAGATTTATCGCCAAAGTACATAAAAGCATTGTCCGAATATGCGGCTAAAAATGAGTACAACTCATGGATAGAAGATAATCGTCTATACATTCAAATGAAATTGTGTTCAGACGATGAGATTAAATTAATTTGCAATGATCTGGATCAACTGGTTAAGTGGTAAAATGTGTTTATTATTTACACATATTTAATATTATTGTCATTTAAGTAAAGTATTTTCATCCAGGAAGTAAATTATTTTACTACTTTAATTATCGATTAGTAATACCCTGGACAGGGTTACTGTAAACACGATGTCAAACTCGAAAACTTATGACTTAATTTAGAATTCTTAGTAATACCATAAAAATATATGAAGTTTTTAATGACAAATAATCAAAAAATCATTATTCTAACTGTAAGGATTAATGAGTTACACTGGATTTTATGATTATATTTCAAAGCAAAATAATAAGAAAACCACATGAGATTTTTAATTAGTTTCTTCACTAAATAATATTAACAAATTAGCTTCTTTAAGTGAAACAAAAAATATTTTGTTAAACAATTAATTTGTGCCGGATAATGATGTTTTAAAAATATAAACATGAATTCATAAGTCTTACCCCTAAAAACCCAAAGGTATGAAAAGTTTAGTTGTTAGATATTTTGGTTTACTTTAAGTTACAGAAAAGAAAGTTTTGGGTTATTTGGGGTAACAAGGTGATTTTTGCAAAACTAAAATTGTTGACACCCACAATTTTTCACAAATTGGATTTAGGCCCTAGATCAATTAACCATCAAAAAATAATTTTGAGAAAATAAAATCCATAAATTACGTTTAAAAAGTACGTTATTTATGAATGGTAATAATTTTAAATAACATTATTTTTAATGCTGATACTAAAAATAGTAGTCTAAAATTTTTCTGACCATAAATAACGAAGATATGCTATGACGTTATTGA